CTCATTACAGACCATTTTGAAGACATCTTTTAGGAAATGTAATTGTTGTTCCACTTAAACTTCCAGTCCATCCACTACTACATGAAAACAGCATATGAAACGCTTAACCTTAGTCCTCCTTAACTGAAATATACACAGTGGGAAATGGCAAAATTAGTTGAAGGCCCTTGCTGCTGAGTGGTTGGTTGTTTCCTTCGGCAAATGCACAAGCTTGATTTCATAATGTAGTAAAGGAACATTTGCACACAGAACAAAAAAGAAAAAAGATTCAGACTGAAGTTCTGTGTTTCATATGCTGTTTTCATGCAGCAGTGGCTGGACCAGAAGTCTACATAGAACAATGATGTTGTTTACTATGCAACTGAAAGATGCCTGACACAGTCCATTGTAAGGGGTCAGAAGCCAGCACTGGGAAACCCTGGTTTAATCATGTGGTGCACTCAATAAGCTTATCATATGTCTATGTAAAATCTTAACCTGATAACTGACTGGTAATTACAGTAACCTGAAATGGGTGTACTTAAGCAAAATACAAGTACCACAGCATTTTACTTTAATTCTTCTTGAGTAAATCTACTTAGGTTTCTTCTTGAGAGAATTTGGATATCAGTATCACAACTCTACAGCCTCCTCCTTAAAGTAAGGGCCATTCACCATGACAACAGTGATAATGTGTCATGGTGGGAAAACCAAAGAGCAGGCCACAATCTGTGTTCAGTGTGTGGGAGAGAAAATGAGAGATATGACTAATACAGTGTATGACTGTTAAGAAAGTGACAGTTACAACTGTTAAAAATAACTGAGGGGAAATCGGGCTAAACATTTCACAAACTGACAGTGTTGTTGGCATTTTGAGCTTCATTTGTGGCATTTGTTCCGACCTAAACAATACCAACTGACAAAAGAAGTTTTGTTAATGATTATGTTGCTGAGTGCGAAGACATCTGCTTTTCAAAACTTTCTTCTCAGCCCACACAGTGCACTTGCTACAAACCACTGTAGCAACAGAATTCACCCAAGAAGGCTGTCAAATTATAAAAACAACACGACTATTTCAGCGCAGTGATACATTGCTAGACACTTCTGGTACACAGCTGTCTCTACATTGTGACAATGTAACTTCATGTCATTAAGTAGCCCAAGAGTAGGGGAGACTGTTGTTAGGGAGGGAAGTTCTATTAATGTGATAATACATGCAGGTCACTTGCTCTATGCCTACAGGGAGTTTGACCTTTCTCCTCACAGTTGAGTTCATCATCTAAGATACATACCTGGCCCAAATTCACCAAGTGTCTGAGAGTAGAAAATCTGTCAAACTGGCCAGAAATTCTCAGAGTGATGCATGTTTAGTCCTACTTTTAGGGCCTGGGGGAAAAAAAAGATCAACTTTTTTAACTTAGGAAATGACTCTTATCTGTGCTGACAGGAGCACTCCACAGGTGTTCCGACCTATTAAGAATCACCAGAAGATGGCATTCAGGCAGACATCCTGCAGATGAAAAGTAGCTTGTAGATAAATCTGTTACTCTTTGAATTATATGTCTCTTTGAGATGAATGTTTTAGTTCAGTGTCCCTCATCAGTAACAAAATGAAGAAAAACAGAAATACCGCCTCACGGTTGTATGGCTCTGTGCACCAGTAAAGTTGCAGTTAGAGTTTACATCCATGTCTTTGGAAATATGGATGCCTCACACATTAACCCTGACAGCACAAAAGATCTATACAATCAGCACAGTTTCAAGGTGGACTCCCAAGATTAGTGTCACCAATTCAGTACCGACCAAATGTCTCCCCTTTTGTTCCTGAGATATGACACTGAGTAATGGCCAAAAAAGTGTATGTGCAGAACATTATGATGTCACAGTGAAGTTGACCTTTGATCTTTTGGATGTAATATGTCATCACTTCATCATTTTATCCTATTAGATGTTTGTGTAAAAGTTTGTCACAATTTGCATGTAAATTCTTTAGTTATGACCAAAAACAAGATTTGTGAGATCACAGTGACTTTGACCCTTGACCTTCGACTAAAAAATTCTAATCAGTTAATTCTTGAGTCTAAGTGGACGCCTGTGCCAGATTTGAGGAAACGCCTTCAAGGCTTTCTTGACATATTGCCTTCACAAGAAAGACACAGACACGGTTACAGTGACCTTGACCTTGTACCACCAAATTCTAGCCAGCTCATTTTTGAGTCTAAGCAGACATTTGTGCCAAATTTGAAGACATTTCTTTAAGGTGTTCTTGAGATATTGCGTTCACGAGAATGAGATGACGCCGGGGATCAGCACATCCAGGGCCCCGCCCCCGCCTGCCACCCCGTACACAATGATGATTCCTGTTCCTGCGGTTGGTGGACCCAGAGGGCGGCAGCTCCATGTTACTTATTTGGACTGAGCTCGACCAGGCCCCATGGCCCAAGGCCCGGCCACCAGATGCTTGCTCAGGTGTGGAGAGGGATGTCTGGGGTGCTTTGCTTGGACTGCTGCCCCCCAAGACACGGCCCCGGATAAGTGGATGAAAATGGACAATGGTCAAAGTGGTCACAGTAACATTGACTTGCAACCTACAATCACCAAAATTTAATCAGTTCATTGTAAAATTCAAGCAGACATAAATGGGACAAATGGACAACTTGAAATCATAAAACCTCTGGCTACGGCTGTTGCCAGTGCAGAGGCATGATAAAAACAAAGCCCAGTGGGTTTGCAGCATCATTGCTGCATGTACAATATTGGATAATACAGCACATGTAACGTGAAGCACTATTATCAGTTAAGCCATTTAAAACAATGGCTAATTGGTAAATATCATCATGAGACACAAGTCATTATTTGATTTGAGCATCATATTTTTGCAAATATAACCTAGATAACTTAGTCAGTTACATTATTTATCTATACAAGGGGCGTCCCTGAAGTTCAAGTTCATCATTATCAAGTTAAAAATTTCATAACTATTCCCCATAATAGAGTAAAGGGGCAGACTAGAAATACACAGAAGCCTGGGATTTTGCTATCAACCAGCCCCAAAACAGTCAACAGTGTTTAAACACAGAACTACATTTAACCCAGCAGACTCGACACACCAGAGTACACTATATTCACACTACAAAGTCACACAAAGCACACTGCATTTACACTAGGTATTAAACAAATCACTTATGTTGCTGCACTGACTATCAAATATCTTATGCCTTATAGCAAGGGTAGCCAGCATTGTGCCTGGTTGCCCACAAGGAGCCAATGAGTCGCCTGTGTGCAAGATTTAGGGGGATACATTGGCAGAAATAGAATATAATATAGTAGGCATGTTTTTTAGTGTCTAATGGAAAGAAAAGTATCATAGTGTTTTTGTTACGTTAGATTGAGTTGTTTATATCTGTATAGAGAGCAGGTCCTTGTCCATGGAGATGTCCATGTTTCTACAGTAGCCCAGTGTTTTTACCGGTTTACATTAACGGGTGCATTTTTTTTTCCGGAGAACACCTCTGTGGCTAATTCTGCTCCCGGTTCAAACCCTTTGGAACATCTGGATCAGAAATAAGGGAGTGTACATTAATTTATCAGAGTAAATAAGTGAACACACATTAGCAGATGCTGGGATAGTGGCCCAGTGGCAACATGCCAAACAGCATACAGAAGAAACACTTATTTGTAATGTAAAACTGCTTTATTCAGTGTTTTTACCAGTTTTAATCACTGGGTCTGTTTCTGCTACAACCTTTAACCAAGGGTATAAAATGCTGGAGGTTGGGGGGAAAAGGCCTGCCCTCACAAGACAAGCCCACCAGGAAAATTCCCAAACTTTTCTGATGGCCAGACTGGGCCTGTTAAAATATATATTACAATATCTCCCCAAGTCCTCTTGTAAGGCAGGACTGTTTTTATTTGTGTAGCTGTGATTCTGAGCTGCTTGATACAGTTCTTGATTGTGAAACAATATACTGTACTGTAGATCGCACTTTATGAAGGAATGAGGTCCACACAGAAACTGTTTACTCTCACTCAGCTTTCATAATGTCTCAGTAAAGAAATGAAATAATACAGGAAATACTATTACCCACTCATTTTTAACCCTGTTCAGTATAAATGCTATTAAGCTAATGCTAATAAATGCATACTGGTCTTTGCCCTAACAGAGCCAAGCACATTTATGTATCAGACCGTTCTCAATTCAATTAGGGTTTTCATTTTCCTCCTAAAGCTGGTGCTTTGGATTTCACCCTCCACTACCTATTATTTTCAGGTTGCATGATGCCTCAAGGGCGGATAAACATCATGAAGATCTCTTGCACTAATTAAGCTTAAAGTTGCCGTCCGAGCCAGAAGTTCCAAAATTGAGTGGGCCGACTTAGCTGGGGCTAAATCTCTATGTTTCCACCCCAAGGCAGTACAACAAACATCAATACTGCATTTTTAATGGAAGTAAATGGGGCATGCATAATTTGTAAGCTCTGATGTGTATGTGTTGCTTGTATAGAGAAATAATCCATATTGCAGTGAGTCAAGCTGAGTCTGTAAATGACCTAAAAATATCTCATCCTATCTAAATAATAATATTAGTCTTATAGGCTGCAGATGGTCATTATCACATCCATTCCCCAAAGTGTCAGAACTGGATATGTCACTGTGGTAACATACTGTAAGTGTCGATTCTTTAAAGATGCCACTTTTCTTCAACATATGATCCACAAAGACAACTGACAGGTGTGTGCATCTTCGCTTAGAAGGAGTTTTGCTTCTAATTAAGAGCCCAAGATAAACAAGCGGTGGGCTATGGCAAACCCAGCAGTTAAAATCTGTTCACAGCTGAGAAACAATACGTGACTGTGTCTTGCATGTAGAGCAGCTCCTCTGCTCTGCAGTATATATTCATACATATTAGCATGAAACTTGAGTAAAGCAATGAGAGGTGTTGTCTGACAAGAGAAGGCCATCAGTCGGCAAAAAAAAGAACAAGGGAAGTAAAAAAAGATGTAGTATTTTGGCTTAGGTACCTCCTCTGCTTTGGTCTGCTCGAAGGCAAACTCCATGGTGGGCACAGCCAGCTGGTTGGCGAAGAAATTCACATCTCCAGGCAACTGCAGCGAGCTGACGTTGGGTCCAGGGCAGTTCCCACCACGAATGCAACTCAGCAACTGTCTCTAACAGAGAAGACAAAAGGTGAAGAGAAAGAACAACAAAGCAGGGTGAGAAAAATTCACTGGTGGAGAGAGAACAAAGACAGAGACAGGGTTTATGAGAACAAAAAGGCACAGAGGTAAGGGGGTTTCTGCCATGTTAATGAATTAGATGAGTTCTTGATAAAACTCGGCCTTTGTCTTGCAGTGTTAGGTCATTAACTGATTTTTAAAACTTTGCTACAACTGTCTGAAATACCAACCCATGGTTCATGTTGAACTGACTCTTTATTAATTGCGCTTTAATGCAAATGCTTACTGTGGTGTACGCCCTGGGGCTTTGATGGGCCTCACAAGACATAAGATTAATTCTTCTTTTTAATATATATCATACAAATTACAATATTGTATATTTGCAAGGAAGGCTACCATGAACCATATTGGGCCCAGGAAGACACAAAGATTTCCCACCATGCACAGCTATGATCAGCGAACTGTAGCACAGAACAAAATAGCCTATATCTGCATTTTGTAACTACTTAAATCAGGCAGCTGTAGCATCATGAGCAGGCTGTGTGCTGAGGATGAGGGAGGAGAAGTGGAGCAGGCCACCAGAGGAGACCACGAGCTGGTTAGAGACCCCTCTGCTGCTGCGGGGTAGGATGGACGACTTTGTGCTCAGGTAGAGGGAAGAGAAGGAGTAGCACCGACAACTGGAGAAGTGGAGAGATAGAATGCTCGCAGGTTTTTAATCAATAAGACCGATAACTTTGTGTTTCCTGCTGTGCACACAGACTTACTTGCGCTGGTGGAATGTAAGTGAACATTTACTCACATATGGTAGCCTACTTTAAGGGAAAGTTTGGATTGTTTGAATTGGGATTGTATAGGATAATCTTATCCATGGTCAGCGTATTACATACTGCAGATGTCAGGTGGCACGCCCCCACTTTGGAAAAACAGGCTATGCAATGTAATGCTGTGGATGGGGATCAGCAATAAAAATATTTTAGCCACCTTAAAAAAGTGCCCTCTAAAAAAAATCATTATTAAATAAAGTGTATGCTATATTGAGAGTATTTTCATTGAGCTACCTTTCCGTCAGACAACCTGTGTTGACAGGAGAGCCGTTGGTGTCTTTAGTTGTCCATCCATGCTCTTGTCAAAGCCATTAGACCCCATTTAGAAAAACAAGAATTTTACCTTGTTGAACACGAACATAACACGTTTTTTTTGTTTTTTTAAATTGCATGAATTGCATGCTGCTGTTAATGTCAGCACATATCACGGATGTATAAATTAAATATTCCAACCTCAGCTGGAGTTCTATTGTCCACTAGAATGCTTTAGACTGCAGCGGTGATGTCTTTGCATACTGCGTTTTTTTCCGACCTCCTTTGATGTCACTTTTCACACTGACAAATAGAACCACTTTGTTACATTGGACCCTGGACACCAGTGTTTCCATTTCCATCTCAGACAAGTTTCTCCTCCTGGCATTATTATGTCTCTCCATGTCTTAAATTCTAAATGACAGTTGTTTTCAGCCGCCACATTTATCACCTAAGATCATTTCTACATTGTGAATGGCTACTTAAGAATATTTCATGAATCACACCTGAACCCTATATCATAAGATGATTTCTGCACTTGGAGATGCGCTGGTTTGTACATTTTATTAATAAATGAGGGCCAGTGTCCAAAAATGATGCTCCAAAACAGTAAAATATGCTGGGCTACGTATAGCACTATAATGATGGCTATACTCACCCATAGAAACACTAGGATATACTGTATTAAAACTGGTAACAGGACATGCTGGAAAACAGAGCATAAAACAACTCCCTCATTTGTCTTTGCTGCTTGTTCCACTCTCTAACATAATGTATTTTCAGAATGTATTGTTGGTTTACTATATAATCTGTCAAATACAAACAATGACCATACAAACATTTTGTATTAACACCATTTTGTGAATAGAGATATCCTTTCTTCCTCGGAAACATGTAAAATTCACAGTAAATAATGGTGCCTGCATTTATAACTACCATAAGGTACAAACTGGGGCTTGAAATATATTTACACAGCTTTTAACACATATGGTGTGATTAATGAACATGCAAACTTGATGTGGGAATTTGCATGCCCTTGCTGAAACCTTTAGTCATTAAAGATCCTTCTAGTAATATTATTTTTTAGAGACATCTGCCATCATCAAATGCATGTTAACCAAACTGTAATTCAAATATTAACTATAATTAATGACCCACAGTGACTCCCACGAAAGGCACATTTGTATGTGCAACTTGGTTTACGTATCTCTACACTATGATTGTGTTATGCCAGTGAGGGAGAGAGGGCTGACTAAAAGCATCATTTCAGAAATTAAAATTGTTCCAAGTTGTTTGAATACTGAATTGTCAAGGACGAGCCTTAATTGTGCTAAATACAGTATATTGCTGAAGAAGGGAGGGGTGAGATGAGGCCATGATTAACATTTGGCAGGCGGCTAATTGCACAATTCAAGCTTTTGTCAGAGTTCTCCACAGCTAACACGTAGCCTGTCACGGGGGTTCACCCCTCTCTGGTGTTATTCCTAATTGAAAGAACAACAGGACTGCTGTACAGAAATTGTTGGGACCAGAGTGGTTAGTGGAAGGAAACAGAATGCAACCGTCAATCAATTAGAGGCTTATCTCAACTGCCCACATCTGCTGAGCCTGCCCAAAGTCACCATGTTCTTCTGTCACATTGCATTTAATTAGAGTTTCCTTTTATCAAGGTCTGTCAAGGGGAGAGAGCTCTGGTGTCCAATCATCCCTGCCACTGTCACTGACACACTGTTGCCAACCTTTTCTATTTTAGTTTTTCTAAAGGCTGTTGCTCTCATTAACTGCCAATGAATTGTGAATTGTTCCCACTGTAACTGAGTAAAGGTCAGTAAATAATACCTTTAACCTTGCCTCAACCTGCCATGATGTACCTCATTCTAATCTCACGTTTCCATTTACTCCAACGAAAAAAAAAACTGGAAAGACAAAAACATTTACATGCATATCAATATTCATGAAGGGCATTTCATTACCCACTTATGGCTAATTGTGGAAGTTAACAGGGTGGGAATAAATGCTTGTTCATGTGTGCACAATTTAAAAGTTGATTGAGATTCATAATCGGGAAGTTGCACACAGAGGACAGACTTATCACAATATTGTCTGGTGTATGCAGCTTTCTTTTTATACATATACATTATTTAATACAGCAGTCTATTAGTGTGGAACTCAAGCAAAGAGCTGCATGTGAAACCCACAGTGTTTAAATCCACACACTCAGTGATTTCTGGTTAATTTAGAGGAAATTAGAATATACTGTGTCATTAGCCTTATAGCATTCATAGCTATCATGGCTCCACAGAGAAAAATAAAGCAACAAAAATTCAAACTTCATCATAAAAATGGCAAAATATGTTACAGCGCGGGGAACGCTGTTTGACTGACAAATGCTCCCTGGGTGAAGTGCCTATGAGCAACAGCACTGAATACTGAGCTTAGACAACAGCACTGACAACAATAAGAATGGAGAAAAACAAGACTGGGCAAGCCAACACAGTGCAGAGCAAGTTGAACATTTGAATTAGTTACCTGTTGAAGCCTGGTTGCTGTTAGGTCAGCTGAGCATACTGCTTACTTTCACTCTCTGAATGTAGCTGTCAACTCAGAGAGCTGGCGCTATGCCAAGCAGAGAGGACTACAGATTACTCCAGGCAGGACTGGTGACAGGGGACAGTCAAGGGAAGACTTCAGGGGAAAGTAGAAGCATCTGTCTCTGGACTCTTGAGTCAAACAAACTCAACTAATTTGACAACACTGGCGCAGTTTTAAGTGTGCCCTACTGGACCACCTTGAACTGTCACATGCACAAATGTTCATGCGTGTCGGTTAAAAAGACACAAACTAAACACATTAGCAATTCAACAATGAGTGTTTGGCTGATTTACGTTGTGACCTTAGGTGACCAAAATCCAATGGCAAAACAACATCTCGTGCTAATATCACTTCAACGTAGAATACTGATGACAAATGGGGTACAGATGAGTAATCACAGAGCAAGGCCCCCAGGAAGTGCTCTGGGCTTTGAAGCCAATTTTCGTAGTGGCAAAACAGTAGAATTACAACTTCCGGGTCCATCACAAAAACTTTTTTACCATAGAATATCACTGTGGGAGAGACCTCTGTAAATCAATGGATGCATGTTTTTTTAACGTCACAACCCCCACTAAAATACTAATCTTGCGACTGGGATTTGATCCACTGAACCCATTTTAGAACAGTGGCGGCTGCTCTTTCAAACACGGGAAGCTCGCTTTAAGTTTACATCATAAAATTTGTCATATTGTAGCTTGGCAGTAACTTATAAAAGGAACATTTATTTGAAGCCATTTTTCAACCACACACATGCCATAGAACCACAGCAAAACACACCTCAAAGATTTTCAGATGGGTTTAACGGTGAAAATGAGCTATGTCGCTTATGGAAATAAGGAACTCCGGATGGCACTCTGTCAGAAGATTCCACTCGCAAATATCCGCATGGGACTGAGCTAAAAATGTGAGGCGCTGTCAGTCACAAAGGGGTTCAGCCTTTTAGACAATTCCTCCAATCATCATGCATACACCGAGCCTCCTCTCCCACTTACCACTCCATTAGGTCCCAGGGAAGCTGAGCCTCCCTGGAAGTGACGATTTTGTTGCATTTATCCAATGACTGTGTCGCTTTGCTGCACTAAAAAAACCTGCTCAGCGCCGTCTCATAGGAATGCTTGGAGGCTCCGGGTCCACTGTGCTGACACGAGAATGTATGACAGGGAGGTCACGTTTGAAAACTGGTGATAAACAGCTGATGTTTGAACATCATAGTTGTGATGTTAAATGCATCCTAGTGCACGTTTAATGCAATGTAAATTCTTATTTTAATGTAAATTCAATTGTGCATATTTGACCATTTCTTCTATGAAATTTTAGGGG